CTTTTTTTTTTTTAATGTTCTGTAGACTGACATGTAAGGACTGCAAGAGACTGAGATAGTCTGATAGACTTAGACTTACTCTTCCTCTTATTTGTGATTCAGTGCATTTCTCAGAGGTTACCTGCACTGCTTGAAATCTCTGTGGAGTCTGGTGTTCTCCAGTAGACTTTCAGTCCTAGATTACAAAGGTCGAAACAGAGGAGGACACGGAGGATTTTCTATGAAACTCCTGACATTTGCATATTAATCTTTCAAGATTAGAAACATAGGTCAATAATATAGACAATATAAAGAACTTTTTGGAACAATCCAATCTGCAAGAGAACAAAAGACATGTTTATATCTCAGATTTTTTTTTATAGGATTTTTGTAGAACAAGGTGATTAATATTTTCTCCAGATAGTTTTGCTCTCAAGAGAAAACATGAAAAACATACAGAGTCTTATTTATATTACAAATATTGAAAGGGATCAGCCAACTGGATTCATCCAATAAACATGGCTCTAAGCTTTGTTGTGAAGTTCATGCCACATGCATTGTTGAACCAAGAACAAAGCTCAGAGTCTTGTTGGCTTTTCTTTGTTGGAGAAGTGTTATGGTAGATTGAGTGGGAGAGGAGTAAGGAGAGGTAGGTTTTTTTGTTTTGTTTTGTTTTGAAGGCTTCTTCATTATCTAGGGTGTTAAGAATTTCTGAGTCAATGATAATAATGTTTTGTGTTTTTGATAGTGGTTAAGAATAGATCTTAATTTTCCTCACCATAAAATAGTAACTAAATACAGTGTTAGATATGTTAATTGGCTTGATTGTAGTTAAAATTTCACAATGTATTTATATATCAAAACATCATGTTGTAAACTTTTTAAGATACACAATTTTAGTTGCTGATTCTGTTTCAGTGCAGCTGGGAAAAGGGATGAAAGTGAAGTTAATTGAGAAATGAGAAAATGCTCTGTGTTAAGATTGGTTTGTATGTTTATGTTAAAGTGAAACAAAGGCAATATAAAAATTAAAAAATTAAAAAAACAAAAACCAAAAAACTTCTAAGTAACTTCTAAAAGAGAGTCAAATTTAAGTTGAGACATAAAGACAATTTCAATCAGGCCAATGAGGATAAGGTGGTGGCAGAATGTTCCATGTGGAACAGACACTAGGTAAGTCAAGAAAAAGTAGAGAGGCCATTAAGGGAGAATAAAGATCAATACAAGATGATTAAAATGACAAGTGGAAGAGACAGTGTATAGATTTTCATTTTGTAATGATCTGGCCCATGAAACATGGAGGGCAAGAGAGGCTGCCACAGAACCTTTTGAAGGTTGGTGCAAAATAATTCAGGTGATTCAGACCACTATAATGTTTTATACATGGTTAATCAGTGTGCGGAGAAAAGATCGACATCCACTTTCAAGAAGAAAACAAAATGACAAAAATTACTGATAAATTACTGTAGCACACCACAACTTTCTGTGTGCTCCTTGTCCTAGGCAGAAACCTTAAGGGATAAATGCCTAACAAGAATTGTCAGAAGGGCACTCTCCAAATTGCATTCCAGCACAGGACAATAGAAGAAGCTGTAGTAATCATGTCACAGAAAGCTTGGTCCTTGTCCCCAATACCAATCCAATAACGAGGACACAGTTTTGAGAAAAAGAAGAAAGAAGGTTGATTCCTTTGCTAACAAAGGAGAAGCACAGGGGACTCCAGTTCTAGAGGCTGTGGTTTCGCCCACCAGGGAAGACAGGGCTTTAAAGGAAGTTCTTCAGAGGCTGCATTCGGGGAGTGCCCTGACAGGGGTCCCAGGTGCACCCTGATGGTGTGCGAAATTCACCTGCTAATTTGAGAGATAGTCTCTTCCTAGATCTTCCAGTGACATCTCCTTCCTGTGGTGGGTTGGTGCTCAAGGACAGATAACTTGGTCTAGGATGGGAAAAAGTGATCTTGTTCCCCATCCCCAGGTTAAGGAGAGGGAGAAAAGAAAAATATATCCCTCTGGGTTGGGGATATAGCTCAGTTGGTAGAGTGCTTGCCTTGCATGCATAAGGCCCTGGATTCAATCCCCAGCACTGCCAAAAGAAAAAAATTTCTCTTAAAATAGGCCTCAGAGCAGCCAGGGATATATTCAAAATTGACCACTGTTACGATCAATCATCATTGATCCTACAAAAGGACCCGCTGCCTCTACTGCAAGTGAACTTGTTGAAGCCAATCTCGTTTTCTGTGTTCACCAGAACCTCAGTTAACTTCATAAAAACAGACAAGGTTATATGTATTTGGCTAGGAAGGGTTGATTTTTAAATTCCAAAGCCTTATCAATCAGTTGTTGGGCAAAACAGACCAGGGCTCTTCTTGTGAGGAATAAAAAACTTCTAGAACAAAGTTGTTCAAAAGCCATCTTCTCTGGAGTATATCTGAAACCTTGGGCAAGTATTTTCTTGTAGGGTCATTGTCTATGTAAACAACTTGGTTTCAATAATTATTACAAAATTCATGGTCCCTTATAAGATATAATAATTTACCAATGGAGGTTAGACTAAGAGGCAGAGAAGGAACTGATATGTCTTTAATCAAATCAGCACATGTGAAGATTTTTTTTTATAGCATCTATGTGCCATTTCTGGTAATTTCCTATCCCTGGCTAATTTGCTATTCCCTCCACCCTACCCCCATGAGAAAAATGTAGCAACACTGTTATTACTCGTAAAGCCCTGTCTGTCTGGAACCTGTTTGTCCTGAAACAACGTCCATCTCCTTGCCTCTGTAGTTCTCTAACACCATTTACGTACTGACTCCGCAATGTCCATCTTGCCACCTGTGAGTACTGACTTATTCTAATGACTCACAGATCCTTATGATGCTTCATTAACACTGAGCACAAATGCAAATCTTCCCACAGTGTTATGAATAATGTGAACGATAATTTGTTTTCCAGCTACTAAAGTTATATTTGGAATTTTATAGTGAAAATGTAGATCAGCCCAGTCTTCTCTAGAGCCTGTAATTACTGCCTTCTTGGAAAGAGATCACTTTGCATGCTGATCATTCCCTCAGCCTTCCATGCCACCACCAGTGGAACAGATAGGCGAGAAGCCTGTGGACAGAACTGGAAGAGTTGTCTCAAACTCAGAAGGAAAAATCCACCAGTTTACGTTGGCCCATGAGAGTAGGATGTCACCTCATCAACTGGAGGCAAGGGAACTATTGCAAAGGGCTGTTCCTGTTACAGAGCCAGGTTTTCCAAAAACCCCAGAGGGGCAGGCCAGCCCTCCACAGAGGGATACCACATGGCCCAGAGCCTACAGGGGTGAGAGGTGCAGCTCTCAAAGTGGAGTTCTCTTGTCTCCTCCGGATTACACTCAGATACAGTAGAAGGGATATGGCTCTGCACTGAAAACAGACTGGTGAAAGGCCACACAGAGCCCAGTACATGCTGCAGCCCAAGGGCAGGAGGTGATTTTTGGTAACCTAGAGCCCTGAACATAAAAGTTACTTCAAATCATCTTGTTGCCACTATTTTGACAACTCCACCGTGCATCATCCTGCAAAAACTTTACTCAGAGCCTGCTGAGGAGATCTGCTCTCAGGACCAAGCCATAGGCTTGAGTCCCAGAGCTGCTCCTGGCATCTTGTTGAACCCATGTGTGGGTGGGGGCTCAGGGAAGGAGCTCCCAGAAACAGCCATGAGGCAGGGGCCCACATGAGTCCCTTTCTGGGCTCAGAGAGCCTGACCCAGATGGCTCTGCTATCTTGGTCAGTCTTGGTCAGGAGAAGGGGATTTATAAATTTTTGAAGAGGAGGTTTATAACATGGACTGATATTGTCAGCCTGACTAGTTTCAGGGTGCTAGAGGGGGACTTAGACATTTTTTGGTCAGTTTATTTTATTTATTTTACTTTTCATATATATTAAATATATGTATGAATATATATATATATGTATATATGAATATATATATTGTTGGTGGGGGACTTAGACAATTTTGAAGAAGGCATTTAAAAGCTAAATAGAGAAAGTCCCTAGCCCAGAGCTGAGGTTGGTATTGAAGTCATCAGCACCCAGTACACTTTGCTACTCTTTTGATTGTCTCAGGGCATTGCATGTTAACTTGTTTTGATGAAATAATTTTCTCAGGAGTTAAGGAAAAATTCTACCGCTTTTTTAGAACAGACTTAAAAAAAATCAAATCTGTTAAGCACCCAATTTACCTTGAATCCTTCTGTTTCTTTGGCATGTGTATATTTCTCTATTTAGATCTTAACCTTGAGCAATATTTTATAGTTTTTAGTGTACAGAATTTATACATTAGTCAGCTTTTCATCACTATAACAAAGTACCTGATGGTCTACTTATGAAGAAGAGGTTTTTCAATTCCTAGTTTTGAAGGTTCAAGGTCATGGTGTTGGCATCAGTTCAGTTTGTAGCTCTGTCATATCAGGGTGTATAACTATGACAAGAGTACTGTCAGTGAGCTCAAACCAGGAACAGAGAGGAACAGGGGATGGGTTCTGTGAGACCTGCCTTCAGAGGGCTTGCTCTCCCGTGACTAAGGATCTCTCTCAAGGGCCCCACTTCTTCCCAATAAGAGCACCTTGCAGAACAAGCTTTCAATCCCAATAGACCCTTTTGGGACACTAAACCATATTTGAATCATACCTTTAATTAAATAATTTCCTAAATAATGTTTGATGCTTCTGGAATCTGAATTGGTTTTTATTCCTGTTTCTAATTGTTCATTGCTTTATAAATGTGTTAGTTAACCCACTGCTATGTAAAAATCACCTTAAAAGTTAATGACTTGAAACAATAATCATCATTGAATATCAGTATCCCATGATTTGTGTGGGTCAGAAATTTAGATAGGGCAGAGGGAGTATGGATGGTTGGTTTCTACTCCATGATGTTTGCGGCCTTAGATAGAAGACTTGGGGACTAAGAACTGAGGAGCAAAAGGGCTGAGATTTCTGACAGCTTGACTGAAGCTGGAGGAAATTCCAAAGACACTCACGTGTTTGAGAGGATGGTTCCTCTTCGCTAGAGCCTCTCCTTCAAATTGTTTAAGTATGCTTGTGACGAAGGACCTGGCTTCCAACAGAGCAAGTGGTCCAAAAGAACAAGCCAGGAACAGTAATGCCTATTATGACCTAGTCTCAGAAGTCACAGGCTGTCACTTGCACTACATTCTATTCATGAGAAGTAAGGTCTTCTGACTAGCCCACGTTCAAGGGAAAAAAAAAATATATGGACCCACTTTTTCAAGAAAAAATTGTGCCAAAGTATTTGTGAAAATTTAAAAATCATCACAGTACAGGCCAGGGTGATGGCTCAGTGGTAAAGTGCTTGCCTAGCATGTGTGAGGCACTGGGTTCGATTCTCAGCACCACATATAAACAAATGAAGAAAATAAAGGTCCATCAACATCTAAAAAAAAAAATGTTTTTTTAAATCACACAATTTAGAGAGATGACTTTTTTGTTTAGTTATTTATCCTGAGAGCTCTCTAAATTAATATATTAATTCTCATTACTTTTGTGTAGACTCCTTGGATTTTTCCTCCAATAATGACATCTCTGAATAAAGCAAGTTTTATTTCTTCCTTCCCTTGTAGAAGCTTTGGTTATTCTCTTGCATGATTGCACTGGATAACATCTTCACCATGGCATAGATGTCAAGTGGTGGGCATGGAAATCTTGCCTCATTCCTGATCTTAGGAGGGAAGTATTCAGTATTTTCAGCCTTAAGAATGATATTAGCTGGGGGCTGGGGATGTGGCTCAAGCGGTAGCGCGCTCGCCTGCCATGCGTGCGGCCCGGGTTCGATCCTTAGCACCACATACCAACAAAGATGTTGTGTCCGCCGAGAACTAAAAAATAAATATTAAAAATTCTCTCTATCTCTCTCTCCTCTCTCACTCTCTCTTAAAAAAAAAAAAAGAATGATATTAGCTGTAGGCTTTTTGCAGATGCCCTTTATAATGTTTAGAAAGGTCTGTTTTTCTTCCTACTGTGACTCCCTGCCCTCCCCCTGCCCCCAACACCTTCAATACTAGGGATTGAGTCCAGGGCCTTGTGCATGCTAGGCAAATACTCTGCCATTAAGCTACATTCCCAGTCTCTTTTATTTTCTTTTGAGGCAAGGACTTGATAAATTGCCTAGGCTGGTCTCAAACCTTCCTGCCTCAGTCTCCCGAATAGCTGGGTTGACAGCCACAAGCCACCATGCCCTGCTGCTTAATGTTTTGTTTTGTTTTGTTTTTTAATCACTAAGTGATTTTTGTATTTCGCCAAGTTCTTTCTCAGCATCTATTGATATATACATAAAATGATAAGGTGAGTTACATTGATTGATTTTCATGTTAAACCAGTTGGGGAATTCCTAGGTTAATCCCACTTAGTTATGATATATTATTCTTATTTATTTATTTATTCAATTTTCTAATATTTTGTTAAGGATTTTTTTCACTTACATTCATGAAAGACATTGGTCTGTAATTTCCTTTTATTCTGGTGGTTTGGGTATCTGCATAAGCTTATCCTTACATCTTGAATATGGAATTATTTCTTTTTCCTAAGTTTACTGAAAGAGTTTGTATAAAACAGGTATTATTTTCTCCCTCAAATGTTTTATAGAATTAACCAGTGAAGGCTTCTGGTTATGGAGTTCTATTTATTGAAAAATTCTTAATTAAAAATTTAATTTCCTTCATTGACATAGGATCCAGTTTACTAATTCTTGAATTTTTGGTTCTGAAAATATGTGTTCATTGGGTGCAGTGGCACACGCCTGTAATCCTGAAGGCTCGGGAGGCTGAGGCAGGAGGATCTGTGAGTTCAAGATCAGTCTCGGCAACTTTGCAAGGCCCTAAACAATTCAGGGAGACCTTGTCTGTAAATAAGATACAAAAAAGGAGCTGGGGATGTGGCTGAGTGGCTGAGTGATTAAGCACCCCTGGATTCAATCCTCCGTAGCAAAAAAAAAAAAAAAATTGTCTTTCGAGGAATTTGACCATTTCATTCAAGTAGTGTTTTACATATTTTTGACATGAGTTACAGTATTTTTCTTAACTTCTTAATGTTTGTAGTATATACAGTTAAGTCCCCTTTACCATTCATGATATTATATCTCCATCCTTGCTTCACAATAGGTTTTTCTTGCTGGTTTCAGCCTAGCTAAAATTACATTAATTTTATTGGTATTTTCTAATAACCACATTTTGGTTCCATTGATTGGTTTCCTATTGTTATCCATTTTTCTTCTTCATTGATTTCAACTTTTATCATTATTATTTTCTTTCTTCTATTTACTTTGCATTTAATCTGCACCTTTTTTTCTAGCTTCTTAAAATAGAAACTTAGATAATATATTTTTATATTTCTATTAAAAGCAAAGAAAACTCTAAATCTCATCTGCCAAATTTTGATTTTTTTTTCATTTTCGTTCAGTTTAGAAAATTGTCTAATTTTTTTAATATGATTTCTTCAATACACAGAAATTGGAGGTTTTTTTATATATTTTTTCTCTGTTTTTTTTCAGTCTTAATTTATTTATTTTTTTTATTTTTTTATTTTTTTAATTTTTTATTTTTTTTATTGGTTGTTCACAACATTACAAAGCTCTTGACATATCATATTTCATACATTAGATTGAAGTGTCTTCTAATTTAATTTTCCAATTAATTTTATTGTGACCAGACAGCATACTTTGTATAATTTTTATTTTTTTTCTTTTGTTACTGAGGATTAAACCTAGGGACACTTAACCACTGAGCTGCATCCCCAACCCTTTTTAATTTTTAGCTTGAGACAAAGTCTCACTAAGTTGCTTAGGGCCTCTCTAAATTGCTTTGGTTATCTTTGAAGTTGGAATCCTCCTAAGCCTCTGGGATTAGAGGCATGCAACACTGCCTAATATCAAATTTTTACCTTTATTGAGATCTGCTTTATGGCCCAGCTTGGGTCTCTCTTAGTGATTGTTCATTATGCAGTAGAATAAGTATCGATCAGGTCAAATTCACTGAGAATGTGGTTCAAGTCTTCTGTGTCCTAAATTATTTCCTGTCTACTTTTTCTGTCATTTACTAAGAGAGAAATATTTGTCTCCCACCAGAATTATTAATTTGTCTTCTTCTTATTTTCTTTCTGGAACTTTTGCTTCATGCCTTTTGATGATCTGTCATCCAGCACTTAGATATTTATAAATATCACATATTCCTATTACACTGAACATTTTATCATTATGAAATGTCTTTCTTTTGTTTCTGGTATATTCCTTGTCTTAAAAAATCTATACTGTTTGATATTAATATAGCCACTCCAGCCATCTTGTGTGCTTATTGTTTGCATATTGTACTTTATCCATTTGCATTCAACCTGTTTGTAACTTTGTGCTTAATGTAGGTCTCCTGCAGACACTAAGTAGATGGGTTTGGGTTCTTCTTTTTTCATGCTTGACTAAGTCTGACTTCTGATGGAAGTGCTTAGTCCACTTGCATTTAGTGTAAATATTTATATATTTGGATTTAAGTCTACCATTTTGCTATTTGGTTTCATTATTCCATCTGTTTTCTCTGTTCCTCTTTTCCTGTCTTCTACTGTGTTACACATTTTAACACAGTATTCTAAAAATGAATTATGTATCTTAATGCCTCAGTTAACTTTCTATACATTTCTTTCCATTTTGTTTTTGTTATTGTTATTGCTCACTCTAAGGATTATAATATGCATCTTTAATTCATCATAATTTACATAGAGCTAATTATTTAATTATGACTATTTATAAATACAGGAATCTTAGGATGGTAACAATCCTAGTAGTGCCCTCTATTCTTTGTGCTAATGTTGTCAGATCTATGTTATATCTAAATGTTATAAATTCATCAACAGGATGTTATAATTTTAAGCATTTTCATATTCTAAAGAAATTAAGATTATATATTGCAAATACATCTATACACACACACTTACACATACATATATAGAAGTAAACTGTATTATAGTTGGCTTTAAGAATAATAAATAGGATTTATAAATAATAAATAGGATTTATAAATCCTATTAACTCAACAAACCCCAAGTAGAATATATACAATAATATTATTTATAAATCCTATTTATTATTTATTAAATTTGATGTTTTTCATCAAATTTAAGAACTTTTCCCCAGTTAAAACTTTACATGCTTTTTTTTTTATCCTTTTTTGTCTTTTCTGTCCTTCTGCAGCTCCAATTACTTATCTGTCAAATGTAGATAATTTTTTTGTGTTCCATATTCATGTCTGAGTCCCACAGAGACAGGGCCAGCCCAGAATCTTGCACATTAAAATCATTGAACCAATGGGAAGAAAGGAATGCCGTATTCCTTTTTGTATTGCTATAACAAATTGCCAGAAATTGGATGATTCACAAGGAAAAGAGATTTATTTGTCTCACAGTTGTAGAGGTCCAGGAGCGAGCACGGTACCAGCAGTGAGCATGGTACCAGCAGTGGCTTCTAATGAGGGCCTCATGGCAGGTAGTGACACAAGGTAGAAGCATCTACAGAAACCACATGGTGAAAAAGAGGAAACAAGAGACCAACGAAGGGCCAGATTCATTCCCATATAACACCCTGCTCTCGTAGGAACTAATCCACCCCTGAGTCCTAACCCCCTCCACATGGCCAGCATTAATCCCTCACAAGAGCAGTCAGGACCTAATCACCTCTTCTCGGTTCCACCTCTTTAAAGTCCCACTTCCTTTCTCTACCACTGCACGAGGGATAAAGCTTCCAACTGTGTACTTTTGAGGGACAAACCATATCCAAACACTAGCAGGGCAGGAAGATGAACAGGAAAGAAGTACACATTGCGGGTGACCCACTCTGAGGTGGACATGACAGAAATTGCAAGGAAAAAAGAGAGGTAAATAAAGTGAGAGGCATGGATGAGGGTTGCCTGAGAGATCATAGCTTCTGCTGTAGCCTCATAGCTTTCTGTTCACATGACCCTTTCTTTTATATGCTTGATTTGAAAGCAGGAGTACAAGAGGTCCAGGTATTGGACCTTTCAGGTGTAAATCTTTGTATTCAGCACAGAGTAATATCTTGAAACTAATCTTTTGTAGCTACTTTAATGATAAGTGCATG